AGCCAGCTTTAAAGCACAAATCAGAAATAGTGCATGCCCACAGACGGATAATAATCCGTCCAGAGCAACGGATTACCTTTATACCGTCGACCTGCCAGTGTCCATGACAAAGGATCTTTGCAGGTAACGGGAGCTGGGCAGCCATCAAAAATGCAGGCCAAAATATGGCATGGAATCTAAATGGTCAGATTACGATCAACATGACGTATGAAAAATACACGACGCATTCGTAAGTGAGTCTCAAACAATCGCTTGTGTCGTCACAAAGTCGTTTACTTTATTATGTCTTTTCCGACCAGCTGGCAATCCGGTGGCCAACGTGTTATTTTATTCGGATAACCGGCAGCGGTAAGGTAGTTCACAAGAGCGTCAAACCATACATAAATCGTCTGTGATGCATCGCCGGGAACTTCGATTCCCCAAGGACATCGATCTCGCTGCCGCGAAACCGACACGTCAGAGATGTTGTGGAAGGAATTCATTAAAAACTGGTGAATGTAACTCGGTTGAACAACACCTATAGCAAAGAAGGCATGTAAAGCGATTAAAGTTAGTTCATAAAGAAACTGTGAAAGGAAACCGCCACGTTAATAAACATTCCTTGTTAAGACTGGCAGTGGCACAATTGAGTAATAGGTTAATTTGCACGTTAGAGTTCCGAGTTTAAAATCCAAAGTTCATCGAGAATTTTCTCTTATTAACTGCTGATTTCCTTCAGCAAACGAATTCATTCTATTGTGCTTCGGTACAAGCGGTCGAAAAACGCGTAGGATGCCGTTGACCTACGAAACAATAGGGACAGCATTGTGCCCTGGCGTGGTCATACCAAAGCATTCGATACAGACGGTCAAGCCATTTGATGTGCGCGCTTTATGGTTGCAATTCGCCTTTATCCTTCTGATAACTGACTACAGATCAGCATAAGGTGTAAAAGTAAATGTATTTAACCAAAGATCAGCTTGCACTGTAACTCAGAACGGAGGTATAAATCTAAATTCAATCAAAGAAAGCTTTTACGTCGTCAAGTTTCATGGCATGTTTAAACCTAAAACTGCACTAATGATCAGATGCTAATTTATCAATGGCATACAAAACGTCGAAAACAGCTTTAATAGCCATCCTTAAAAAATTAACGATTTTAAGTCGGTTGTGCTACATAAGTAGCACACAAATCTGCTCATTTGCTAGCTTGCTAGAATTCATAGCAGATCTCTTAGCCATATTTTAACATCAAACAATAATTTTAGCAAATTTCCTATTAGTAAAAATCAAAAATCGAATGATTACTCCAAGGATTTCATGGAATATTACACCGCATCACTGCTCCTAGTTTCCTGGGGGGAAGAGGGGGGGCAATTAAGCAGGTCCAATTGCATGGATTCTGAACACCTGCAATGCCAGAT